TTTAAGATTTTATTTATTTGACAGAGAAAGACACAGCAAGAGAGGGAACACAAGCGGGGGTGGGGGAGTGGGAGAGGGAGAAGCAGGCTTCCCGCCCCGAGCAGGGAGCCCCACAGGGGGCTCGATCCCAGTACTCTGGGATCATGACCTGAGCCGAAGGCAGACGCTTAATGACTGAGCCACCCAAGTGCCCCTATGATTGCGTTTCTTGTAATAAATTACCTGTATCATCTTCTTTGTTAGTTTAGTGTTCTCTGTGCTCATCACTAATGTGTCCAGAAAGAAGGAAGAGGCTCTGTTTCAGGCTCTGGTTTATTTCCCCCCGGGGAAGCACCACGCGTGGGCACGGCGCTCTCCTCGTCTCCTCCTGGACTGCCTCTTCTCATCCTGGTGCACAGCTGTCCCCCTGGCAATTTCTACCCCCACCCCCACCCCCGCTTTTTCCCCTTGATGTAGACTTTCAAGACCTGCTCTTCTAGCAATTTTCAAATATAGTGTCATATTTTGACTATAGTCAGCATGCTGTACATTACATCCCAGGACTTATAGCTAAAAGTTTGTACTTTTTCACTCCCTTCACCCATTTAGCCTGTTCCACACGACCTCTGGCAACCAACTACTTTGCTCTCTGTATCCATCACCCTGGTTTTTTGGTTTATTTGGGGTTTGGTTTGGTTTTAGAGTGCACATATCAGTGAGGTCATACAGTATGTGTCTTTCTCTGACTGATTTCACTTAGCATAGTACTCTCAAGGTCTACCCCTGTTGTTGGAAATAGTAAGATTTCCTTCCTTTTATGGCTGATGAATACTCCTCCGAATATATATACCACGTCTTCTTTATCCATTCATCCCCTGCTGAACGCTTAGGTTGCTTCCATACCTTGGCTATTGTAAATAATGCTGCAATGAACACGGGGGTGCATATGTCTTTTTCAGTTACCGTTTTTTTTTTTCCTTTGGATAAATGCCCAAAAGTGGAATTGCTGGAGATGGTAGTTTTATTTTTAATTTTTTGATGAATCTTCCTATTGTTTTCTGTCGTGGCTGCACCAATGTGTATCCCCACCAAAAGTGCATGAGGATTTCCTTTTCTGCACATATTCACCAACACCTGCTATTTCTTTTCTTTTTGATACCAGCAATTCTAACAGGTGGGGGGGGGTGTCATTGTGGGTCTGATTTGCATGTCCCTGATGATTCCTGATGTCGAGGGCTTTTTCATGTTGGCCATCTGTATGTCTTCCATCTTCTTAAATTGAATGACTAACTTGTTAATTCATACTTTTCTCTTTCCTAATCTAAGGATTTGTGTTATGATTTTTTTCTAAGCAACTCTTCAGTTGCGTGGCCCAAAGATCGATATCTAATATTTTTGCTACCATTCAGTTCTGAATATTATCTAATTTCCATTATGTTTCCATCTTTGTCTCATAATTTACCTAACAATGTGCTCTAAGACTGCTCAAAGTAGAAGGGTTTTCTAGCTATCACTTTGTTATTGATTTGTTAATTGCATTAATTGATTTCTTAATTGATAATTTAATGGCATTATGATTAGAGAAGACATTCTCTATGTTACCAGTCCCTTGACATTTGCTGAGACTTGATTTAAGGTCTCGGATATGGCCTGTTTTTATAAATGTTCCTTTGTGCATGGTCAGAAGGAATCTGTATGCCGCAATCGTACTATGTATATATATAGTGCCATATATATTAAATCAGCTTGGTGGTAAGTTTTTGAAATATTCTATATCTTCACTGATTTTTGCATCTCCTCGATTTATCAGTTCCTGATGGAGGTGTATTTCGATCTCCCACTATAATGGAGAATTTGTCAGTTTCTCCTTGCAATAGGCCAACATTCTCAGCATCTATTTTGAGATTTGTATTAGATGAATAATCGAGAATTATTGTATCTTCCTAGCGAGTTGGGACTTTCACAGACCCTCCTGGAGTGTCTTCCTACACCAACAACCAATCCTGTGGTTCTCCAGACACCAACTGGGTGTTGAACAAGTCATTTCAATTTTGACACTGACGCCTGGGAGTAAGGCCTCAGTCCCACGAGACTGCACCCCGCCCCCCTCCCACCTTCAGGTGTCATTCACAAGTCCCATACTTCTGACCATGGGTTATAAATCGGGGTTCCCACGACCCCTACTAGGTTCAATGACTTGCTGGAACAGCTGACAAAACTTAAGAAGGCACTTTACTTATGTTTAGCAGTTTATTATAATGGGTAAAACCCAGGAAAAAAACAAATGGGAGGCCTGCATAGGGCAAGACATGGGGGCAGAGGGAGGCAAGGCACCTTCATGCCCTCCTCAGGCACACCACTCTCCCTACAGCTCATGGGTTCACCAACCCAACTGCTTATCAAGTCTCCTCGTTCAAGAGTTCTTATGGGGCTTCATTGTCAAACTCACTCCCTCTCGCGGAGATCAGTGGGATTTGAGGGGGACGCTCAAAGTTCCAATCCTCTAATGACTTGGTCTTTCTGATGACCCGCCCCATTGTAAGGCTCTCTAGCACCCGCACCTGAGGTCAGCTCATGAGCACACACTTAGGTGTGATCAAAGGGGGTTCATGATGACCAACACCAAATACTCAGGAAATTCCAAGGAGCTCAGGCTAGGAACCAAGGAAAAGACCAAACATATTTCTTATTATGCCATAATTTTTAATGACCTTTGTGGCTAGTAACAATCTTTGCCGTAAAGCCTGTATTTTTTATATCAATACAGTTATGCCAGCTTTTAGTTAGTATGTGTCCTTAGTTCTAGCATATCTTTTTTAATTTTTAAAAATTATTATATAATTCACCGAAATAGATCCAAAGGTCTTATTTTATTTAAATGTTCAGGTTCAAATTTCAGATATATTTTAAAGATTTACTATGTAAATTTCTTAACATATAGAAAGTACTAGAAAGACTGTACAATGACCACCTACATACCCACTGCCTAGACTAAAAACTTTACTGTTTTGTCATATTTGCTTTATCTGCCTCTATTTTTTTTTAAATTTAGGTCATGTGTTTACATAAGCCTAATATCAAATCACTTAATAAAGTTAATAATTCTTTAAAATTCTTTAAGGCCCAGTCCACATTTGAATTTTCCCAATTGCCTCAAATTGCTTTCACGGTTGTTTTTCACATTTCGTTGTTTTGTCCCCAACATGCCTTTCAGTCTAGACAGCCTTCACACACCCTGTATTTCTCCTTCACAGCATGACTTTTCTTTAAGACAACAGACCAGTTGTCATGTAAAATGTTCATGCTTTGAATTTACCTTTTTTTTAAGGTTTGTTTTTTTTTAAGATTTTAAGGTTTTTTTTTTAATTATTATTTTTAAGTAATCTCCCCACCCCATGTGGGGCTCAAACTTACAACCCCAAGATCAAGAGTCACATACTCTGCCAACGAAGCCAGCCAGAAGCCCCCAGATTTTAATCTTTTTATCTGTATGCTTTAAGTGTATCTGCTGTAAACCATATTCCTTGAATCCAGTTTCTAACCGAGTAAAATGTTTATCTCTCACTTGACAAGTGTAGTCCATTTATATATATAGTGATTACCAACCAATATATTTGGAATTCGTTTTTCCATCTTATTTGGTTATTTCTACATATCCCACATTTTTGTACTTAATTTTTATTTTCAACTGAACTGGGTATCTTGGTTTTGTTTTCTTGTGCTTTTTTTCCCTCATTCCTTTTCTTATCTATAATTAGCTTGGAGCTCTCCACTCCACATGGCTCTACCTCTTCTCCCCTTCTGCCATGTGAGACAGGGGCCTTCAGGAGACCCACCCTTTGAGTTTGACCTGTGTCCCCTTCTTTTGGGAGCTTGAGAACTGGTAGGAGATCAACAGAGCTGAGACAAAAAAGAAAGAAAACTGCACCGGGAGAAAATTATTCTTCTATCAACCCTGGGACGCGGATCGGCGTGCGTTTATCCTGGACCAAATTGGGGCTAAGCAGGAGGGGGCTGGCATGAAGCCATGTGTAAGTGTAAGTCCTGTCCGGGCTTCCCACAGGTCTCCAGACAACCAGGGCCGACAGAGGAAACATTTGCAACCAGTTGGAGAAGCCTTGCCCTGTGGAGGGAAGGCCAGCTGGCCCCAGCAGAGAATTTCTGAGGAAGAAATTCAGAAGAATTTCTGAGACATGCAAGTCTCCTCAGAGAAATGGCCCCTTTGACCATCGGCCACGTCCAGCGAGCTATACCAGCAGAACTCAAGGGACCAGAAAGAAAGGTCTTGCCTCATCCCCAACCCTCCCGAGAGGGCTGCATAGCAAGGAGGTCAGTCATGGGGTCAGCCATGGCGGGAAGGTCTGAGGTAACCGTGCACCATGGGACCCAGCCCATGGGGCAGAGCTGACTGGCTGAGGGGAGTGTGGAGCTGAGGGGACACGGGAAGGGGGGTCGCAGGAGGGGTGTGGGGTCCCAGACTTGGGGGTCCACAAGCTAGCCCAAGTGGAGAGGAAGCAGGAGGGCTGGGAGTGGGAGCGACGAGGCCGAGGAAAGGTGTGGAGAGCAGAGAGAGCAGAGGGAGATAGGAGAAGATTTCACAAGATCGGCAAGAGCTTCTACTGACTTCCTCATGGCAGACGTTGGCTTTGGTTTGGTTTTGACTCCGCCAAACACCCACAGATCCAGCTAGAGTCCGAGAAGCCGAGCTGGCTCTAGTTCCAGGCCGAGGGTCCTAGCTGCCTGATGGGTCCTGTTCTGGCCCATCAGTCAGGGCTGTGGGTCTCCCTTGCTGTTCCCTTGTCTCCCCACAACCAGAATTACCAGAATTACCCCAGACCTGAAACAGCCAGAGCTGGGCTGACTCCTGCAAGACAAAGGACACAGCCCCGGAGACAAAGGGAGAGAATAGCGCCCAAGGCCCAGGGCGCCCGCTGGCATGGCCAGGCCCCGAGCCCCACTGCGCCCCCAACAGACTTGACGCCAGCCAGTTCCTGCTGCGTTTTCTCCAGTAAAGTGCTTCCTTGCTGGGCTTTATTTTATTCTGTAAAAATAAGCCTCACTCTAAAACAGAATGAAACCCACAAACCCAACTTCAAAACCTCTGGCACAACCAGACCCGCTCAGTGGATAACGTCCCCGCCGATGGGTCAGGCCCTTCAACTTATTGCTTTTGCCTCTTGTTTCTTGAGAACATGACTCCAATGATGCCCATGGCTGCCAAGCCCACGCCTGCGATGCCGGCCGCCGCAACGACATCTCTGACCTGCAAGAGAGAGGAGGGGAGGTCACATTCTGTCGGGGATCCGAGGATGGGCTGCCCGTTCAACAAGAACACTCAGTTCCAGGAGACTCACGTGCCCCTTGGCCCACCTGATAACTCAGGAGTCAACACATACTGGCAGGGAAATGGGGAGAAAAGGGCTGGATGGGGAAAGAACCCCTGGGTGGAGGCCGCTGGCCAGGGCTGTGCACGGAACCAAGGCCAACTCGACCTACTCTGTGGGTATTTTAAGCCCCTAAATCCCCAGAGGGTGGTTGTGCAAAGGACGGGGAGATGAAGGCGGGGATGGCTGAGCTCCTGGCGGCCGTCAGGCAGCCCTTGTGGCCAGTGGGAGGCGGTGCAGGAACGGCTCTCGAGGACTTACCATATCACACCTGTGCCCCCCGGGAAGCAAGGATCTCTCATGTGTCACTTGTCTTGTTCCTCGCTGCCTCCCCCACACCTGGTTCTGCCAGGCACAAGAGTGCTCTTTACAAGTTCTCAAAGAAATGACCCAACTCAGAGTAGTAGTGAGGCTCTACCTCACATTATTAGTATTTCTGACTGCATCGCTCATACCAGGAAAAAGAAGTGTTGCGAAAATAAGAGTAGAGGGTGCCTGGGTGGCTCAGTGGGTTAAGCCTCTGCCTTAACATGGCTCAGGACATGATCTCAGGGTCCTGGGATCGAGTCCCGCATCGGGCTCTCTGCTCAGCAGGGAGCCTGCTTCCTCCTCTCTCTCTGCCTCTGCCTGCCTCTCTACTTGTGATCTCTCTCTGTCAAATAAATAAATAAAATCTTAAAAAAAAAAAAAAAAGTAGATTTCAGGGTAAAAAGTCCCAAGTCAAATTTCACTCCCCCAGAAACCTGACCAAGAGTAAAGTAAGGCATTTGTTCTCGGTGTCATTTCAAAAGGACCCACAGAACTCTAAATTCTAAGGCAGCAGTGAGAAAAGTTGAGGATCAACCCTAATTATAACGGGATCTTTGGGGAAAGTCAGCTACTGGCAACACCAGGCAGCTCTGGAAACGGGACAGAGAAAGAGCTTCAGCTGGGTCCCTGGGGCCCCCACCCCCACCCACCCACCCAGCTACAACAGAAGTTCGAAAGTTGACTCCTGCAGAGGGTGAAATAGAAGACTTGAGGGCCTGGGAATTGAGAAACACATGTGAGGATGTGGCCATCATGTCAAAAACAATGCTAATTGTGAGACTCTTGGCCCTCCTACCCATCTCTGCTTCCAGAATACTACCTACCACAGAAGAGTCAGGAAAACCTTCCTGGGGGATCTGACCTGCCCAAGGAGAAACAAAAGTTACTTGGGGCACCTGGTTGGCTCAGTCAAGGGAGTGTGTGATTCTTGATCTCGTCGGGGTCACGGGTTTAAGTCCTTTCTTGGGTATAGCAATTACTCAAATAAATAAATAAAACTTAAAAGAAAGAAAGAAAAGATACCAATATCAAGGATTCCCAAACAAACTACCCACCCATATCACCCGAAGTGAAACTTAAAGTCAACAAGCCACTTGTCCCCTCCCAGTTCACTCGAAGCTTCCATTCAGCAGCAAACCCCCTTCGTCATGAGCATATCACCAAGATATGCCAAAAAAGCCAGAAAAGGCAAAAACACAGATTATCCCCTAGAACCTCCAGAAAAGAACAGAGCCCTGGGGGCACCTTGATTTTAGCCCCGTGAAACCATTTTCAGACTTCTGACCTCTAGGACTGAGAAAATCACGCTGGGTTGTTTTTTTTTGTTGTTTTGTTTTTGTTTTTTTTTTAAAGATTTTATTTATTTATTTGACAGATAGAGATCACAGGTAGGCAGCGAGGCAGGCAGAGAGAGAGAGGAGGAAGCAGGTTCCCTGCTGAGCAGAGAGCCCGATGTGGGGCTCGATCCCAGGACGCTGGGATCATGACCTGAGCCGAAGGCAGAGGCTTTAACCCACTGAGCCACCCAGGCACCCCACGCTGGATTGTTTTTAGCCACTAAGTTTGTGGTCGCTTGTAACAGTAGCCATCGGAAACTCATACGGTAACCAGCCCAGGGGAGAGCGGTGTGACTCACGAGCCTTGTGGTCCTGTATTCCAGGTACCGTCTTTCTAACCTAAAGCCACTTCTGGGGGATGCGGTCTACCTAAATTAAGAGAAAGACAGGGAAATGAGAAATGAAGAGATCACGGAACTAGGAAAACCAATCCAAGAGAAAGGCAAAGGAAATCTGAAGAACAACGGAGAAGGGAAGTCCTGGGGTACAGCCATGCAGTTAGCCGAGAGCCAGCCAGCGTGGACAGCAGAATGGCCATCTCAGGGATGGATGTGTCCAAGGAGAACAGCCTGGAACTCAGAGATTACTTGACGGGATTTCCCTTGTGGAAAACCGTACTGAGAACGGACAACGGGTATAAGGAAAACTAAGCAATGTAAGGAGATACTAATTACCTTCAAGAAAGAAAGAAACCCTTCCCCAGCCCCAAAAGGAAATTCATAATATACCACAACACTCGGCTGTGAGTAAAATTTACATAAACATAAAACACTGAGTAGTGAGTAACCTAATAAAAATGTATAATATATGCGCGCCTGGTAGCTTGGTTGGTTAAGCGTCTGCCTTTGGCTCAGGCCATGATCCCGGGGTCCTGGGATGGAGCCCCGCATCAGGCTCCCTGCTCAGCGGGGAGTCTGCTTCTCCCTTCCTCTGCCTCTTCCCCAGCTCTCTCTCTCACTCTCTCTCTCAAATAAAAAAATCTTTAGGGGCCCCTGGGTGGCTTAGTGAGTTAAAGCCCCTGACTTCGGCTCAGGTCATGATCCCAGGGTCCTGGGATCGAGCCCCGCATGGGGCTCTCTGTGTGGCAGGGAGCCTGCCCCCCTTCTCTTTCTCTGCCTGCCTCTCTCCTACTTGTGATCTCTGTCAAATGAATAAATAAAAATCTTTAAAAATAAGTAAACTTTTAAAAATCTTTAAAAAGTGTATAATATAGGGACGCCTGGGTGGCTCAGTTGGTTAAGCAGCTGCCTTCGGCTCAGGTCATGATCCCAGCGTCCTGGGATCGAGTCCCACATCGGGCTCCTTGCTCGTCAGGGAACCTGCTTCTCCCTCTGCCTCTGCCTGCCATTCTGTCTGCCTGTGCTCGCTCTCTCTCCCTCTCTCTCTCTGACAAATAAATAAATAAAATCTTAAAAAATATATATATATATAAAAAAAGTGTATAATATAAAAATCGAGTGTGACTGGGGGAGGGGAGGGAATGATGGTTTAAGCAATTTAACCTTCACTTAGCATAAGGAGTGGTCAAAAGAGCATATCTAAATTTTTTGAATAAAACGATGGTAGTGGAGCACCTGGGTGGTTCAGTCGGTCACGATCCTGGGGTCCTGGGATGGAGCCCTATGTCGGGCTCCCTGCTCAGCAGGGAGTCTGCTTCTCCCTCTCCCCCTCCCCCTCCCCCACTTATGTTCTCACTCTCTTTCTCTCAAATAAATAAATAAAATCTTTTTTTAAAAAAGCTGGTAGTATACACATATTGTTTAGAAATTCAGAAATAGGTAAATGCCAAGCTAAAAGAGAAAAGAATGAGTGCCTGGTGAGACGGGGAGGAGTAAAGAGGGGTTTTTTGAGAACTGGTTATCTTTTCAACTTATATGCTTGCATTACTTTGAAAATCTAAAACTTAAATTTTAAAACACTATTCCAGAAAAAAAAAAAAAAAAAAAGGACAAAGAAATAGAAGCCTGCCTAGTCAGCCCAGAAAGCTGATACAAAAGCTTTTTGTACTCTCCAACTTCAAATGCCAATGCCACATCTAAAAAAACTTGAAAGGTAAGAAGATGATGAGGAAACCATCCCCCAGGGGAGGCAAAGACCACGGTGTTTTAGGAAGACGAGCAGGTGACTCCGAAAACATCCCAACACTTTAGTCTGTTGCCCTAATTTGCAGGCTATCTGCAAGGCCAGTGTGTCCCGCGGCCCTGTCCTCTGCTTCTTTCCCAGTCTCTGAGCCACCATGTCCTTACAGCCCCCTTTCCAGCGCCTTCATGTTTCATCAGGTCCAGCAGCGACACTGAAGGGAACAGACCCCAGTGGAAACAGTTCAGATCAGCAAGAAAGAGAGAGAAAGTTCGGCCTCTTCCTATTTGCAGCACTACCCAGGCGTAGCTCTGGGGACGCCAGACCCCGTGACAATGCAAACGGAGAGTCTGCTCTCATGGCCACTGTCCCCAGTGAAGGCACGATGGCCCAAATCAGCAAAACTGTACTTTTTCCCACACGAGGGCGTGAAAGACGGTCACCAACATAGATCTAGAAATCTCACCCAGGAGCCAAGCCAGGCATTTAAGCAAAATCAAGAACAAGCAAAGAGAAAGACGTTTAATCATGATTTTATGCCAGCAAGTCCAGTGAGGACCATGTACCCCAGATCCCGGGAATAAAAAATATGAAAATACGAACTTTGTATGCAAAACTAACACCCTTACCTGACACGGTCGGCACTGCCCTTGCTCCTCTAAGCACAGAACTTACCTAGATTGTATGCATGTGGCTGCCACAAACCCTTAATGACCATTATAGAGAAGAATTTGGAGGTCTTCATGGGCTAAAAATAAATACATCTCGGCGCTGCCCCTAAGTGGGCCCCACGTGGCTGTGTGTGGTGACAGGAATCCCACCAGTGTCACTGACATCACACAGTACCCAGAGCTGAGGTTCCTAGCAGCCAGAGGCCAGGATGACAAAGTCTGGACCAAGCTACAGACCCAAGATGTGACTGCGAGTCAGTCTTTAACCTTCACAGTAGAGGTCATCAGGCGTGGCTTTGTGGCAGCCACAGCGCTTCTGGCTGGGCGGAGGTGGGGGGGGCGGAGACCCACATGAAAGCTCTTGTTCCCAGCGTTTTCCTTGCTAAATGATTTGTCAGGGTGGGAGAAACAGTCTGCAGATAATGGAGGAGGAACAATGTGCCCCGGTTCTTTACAGAACCTCATGGAGGGAGAATGCATGAGACAGCGGCTTCGTACAAAAGGAACTTTGTCAAGGAAATCAACAACAGCTCGCTGTGAGTGTGCTCAGTGAGGAGGCAAAGGGTACAATCAAACACAAGAGAGGGGGCCCTGGTTAGTCCTGAGAGTGCACATTTTATGGGGGGGACGCACTGACTTCTCATGGGCCGGCTGCTGGGTGAGCTGAATTACCGGAGCTCTGACCCCAAAAGGGCCACAGGTGGGCGGCACAGGTCATAAAGCAAAATATTATGAAACACGAAAGCTGTCCCTCGTTAGAAGTGCTAAGAAATCTTTTTTTTTTTTTTATCTTTTTTTAAACAGGAATTCTACGAGACCACCGAAAATGAGCTGTTTATTCTCTGCGTTAAGGCCTCAGAATTGTTTTGGGAAAAGGAAACTTCTCATGTGCTTTCTTCACTTGGAGCAAAGTTTAAGTGGGTAAAAGACAGAGAGTGTTGTCCAAAACACAGGATTTTTCCCGGGCGGTGACTCACATCGTGGGTCATGGTGCACAGCTGCGCCGGCCCACGGGGCCGACCTGCCCGTCTCCACACCCTCGTCCCCACCCCGAGCGTGGCATCCGTTTCCCTTCTAGATGCCCGATGCCCATCCCCCACCGGCTGACGGAACGGTCTGGCTCCCGGGGATGGGGACGAGGCTGAGGACGCACCTGGTCACTGCGGCGGACTCCGTAGCGCAGCTCATTCACGAAATGTTCGCAGTTCTCACAGGGCAGCGAATAGGGCAGCTCCCGCCCCACCAGCTCCTCCGCCCGCTGGACGATTTTGCTGGGAGGCAGTGGGGAGTACTTATCATCATGTTTGTTATTGACCTGGTACTTGTCTCTCCCAACCACATCACACAGCAGTTCCTTCTTCACTACGGCCTTCTCGGTCAGGGTGGACATGATGCTGGCCGCGCCAGCTCCCGCAACTTCACCTAAGGATTCACAAAGAGAAAACAGAGGGATCAGTGCTGGGCAGGCCTGTATGGATCCATCCACAGGCCCTTGGCACCATCCACAAGAGCATGAGCAGAAGGGAAGGGAAAAGGGAGCAGGGTCAGTTACAGGCTGTGTGGCTTTGGAGAAGGTGCTTGTGGTCTCTGGGCTCTGGCTTCCTAAACTGAAATGAGGAGTGGTAACGTTTCTAGAGAAGTGGACCTTCTATACCCGTGGCTCCTCTGCGGCCCTCTTGGTTATGCAAATATGGGCTGAGCAGCCCCTTCTCCCTGGGGGAACAGATTATGAACCTTCTGTGATTCCATCAAGGTCATACTCCCTTGACAAGTACAAAGCTGATGACTGCAGAAAAGGGGGATGGATGAGGAGTTCCCACCCTTCTTGGAGCAAAGGGACCAAAACCCCGCAGCAACTCCTAGAGGTGGGTCCCCAGGGAGACCCAGTAGGTACACCCGGCACAGCCCTTACTGAGGTTGAAAGTCTGGAAGGGGCAACCAAGCTCCAGAAATTAAACTCCCTGTGGAATACTATTCTGCCATGAAAAAAGATCTTGCCATTTGCAGCACCATGAACGGGCCTACAGGGTATTATGCTCAGTGAAATACATCAGACAGAGAAAGACAAATACCGTATGATTTCACTCATATGCAGAATCTCAAAAACAGAACAAATGATTATAGAAATTAACAAAAGGCAGAAACAGACAGAGAATGAACTGGTGGTTGGTTGCCAGAGGGGAAGGAGAGGGGAGATGGGCAAAATGGGCGAGGGAAAGTGGGAGGTACAGGCTCCCAGTTACACGTGGCAGAAGTAAGTCACGATGATAAAGGGCACAAGCACGGGGAATAGAGTCAACAGGGTTGTACTACACTCTACAGGGACAGGTGGTAGCTACATTCGCGGTGAGAACAGCATACCGTATAGACCTGTCCAGTCATGGCCCCGTACACCTGTAACTAATGGAACATTGTGTGTCAACTACATTTCAAGTAAAAAAATAGAAAACTCAAAAGAAAGGGAGTCTAGGCCAAGGACCAGGATGGTGGGGAGGGGAGGCTGACATCAGAACAAGGCCGGGCAGCCCTCCCAAGGCAGCCAACCTACACAGCTGGGGATGATGGCAAAAGAAGTGGGCCCCAGAGAGACCCACTGTCCCTCAAAGAGCCTCCGTGGCCCTGCTGGGATGGGATCTCCAAGGCCCTTTCCCACAGGGGAGGCATCTTGTTAGGCGGGCCACAGACAGTCTTCCACGTGACACCACGGGACAGCCACAAGCAACAGCAGGAAGGGCTGCTCAGATTCCAGATCTTTCCAAAGACGATTAGCCCCCGTTGCCCTGAGTAGATTCGTGAGATTTTGGAAGAGGAGTTCAGGGGAGTTCAGACTTGCTACCAGCGGGGTGGGAGGCATTTGAGGGAGCCACTGGAATAAAGAATAGAGCTGGTAGCATGCAGAGCTCTGAGTCTGGGGAGGGGGTTAGCCTGGGAATGGGACCAGGTGAGTTTCAGCCCCCAGGCAGGGAGCGTGGCAGGGCTGAGACAGGGGCGAGGTCAGCAGGGTGCCTACAGCACAATATTTAAGGAAGCTCCAACTCTCAGGGCCAGGCCCTTACAGAGTCAATCCCTAAGAGTGAGGCTTCCTTAAGCTTCGCGCTGTGGGTGCCACTCTGGTGGGAAGTTCCATAGGGGAACTCTGGGTTTAGATTCTGGCTGTATCACTGAGCGGTCCTGACATGCCACGTAACCTTGCTGAGCCAACACTGGCCACAGTACAGTCTTGGAAGCTTCCTCTAGGCGTGATGGAAAAGCCAGGCAAGAATTTTAAGGCATTTTCTTCCTGACTGGTCTTGGGTGAGTTCTGTCTCAGAGCTGGTGAGAAACACCCCCACATCCTGGTCATTGCCTTTTCCTCATCCCCCCAGGGATCTGCCCTATCAGCTTGGGGTGCCGTGATGGGAGAGATGGCCGGGCGAGATCTGGCGCTCCAGCGTGGTTAGGTACCAATAGCAAGATGTCTTCAGGAAATGCCAAAACTGGGCACCCTGCCCCCAAGTTCGAAGCCACAGCCATTAGGCTAGATGTCCGATTCAAAGGCATCAGCCTCTCGGACTACAAAAGAAAATACGTTGTGTTCTTCTTCTGCCCTCTTGATTTTTGCATTGTGTGCCCCATGGAGACCATTGCTGTCAGTGATTCAGAATTTAAGAAACTCAAGTGCCAACTGGCTGGTTTGTCTGTGGATTCTCATTTCTGTCACCTGGCATGGATCGACACACCCAAGAAATGAGTAGGACTGGGACCCATAAACATTCCCCTTGTATCAGACCCCACGTGGACCCTCACTCAGGACTGCAGAGTCTTAAAAGCTGCTGAAGGCACCTCCTTCAGGCGCTTCTTTACTCTTGACCATACAGTTTCCTTTGGCAGATGACTGAGGATGACCCCCCCCCCCCCCCCCCGTCGGCCGCTCTGTGGGTCAGACTCTGAGACTACTTCGGGCCTTCCAGTTTACTGAGAAGCCTGGGAAAGGGCCCCCGGCTGGCTGGAAGCCTGGTAATGATACCATCAAGCCTGCCGCGCAGAAGAGCAAAGAATAATTCTCCAAGCAGAAGCGAGCACTGGGCCGTTTTAGGACCAGGCTGCCGTGGGCGGCCAAGAAAACAAAATCTCTTGTGCATATACTGTCATGCTGAAAACACAAGACTTTAGATCCAGTGCGGATGTGGTATGGGGCAGGACAGGCCTCTCCTGCAGGGGCTGGGGCGGCCAGCCTTCTTTCCTCTGCAGAGAATGGCCTGAGCCGCGCTATGGGGTAGATCAACTGATGTGAGAGAGCCAGTAGGGAGACACCAGTTTTGATCTTTTGTGGTTTCTGTTAAACTTGAGCAGAGGGGAAAAAGGAAAAAAAAGAATTTAAAGGAGAGAAGTAACATAATCCAATTCATACTTTAGAATGATCGCGCGGGCTGCCCAGGGGAGGAGGGGTGGAGCACGAGCGGGCAAGAGGCAGAGAGAACAGCCGCAAGCTGCAAAGCTTCAGATGGGCAAGACAGTGCAGACGGTGAGAAGTGATCAGACCTGGAGTCTTTCTTGGAGAGGGAGGCAACCTGATTTCCTGTTGCATTAGATACCGGGTGGAAAAGATCGAGGATGACGCCTAAATTCTGGCCTCCGGCAGTTGGACAGCGTCATTCACAGGAGCCTTTCTTTCAGGGCATGTCAAGTTCAAGGCGCCAATCTGACACCCACGTGGAGATGCCAAGTAGTCAAGAGGTTATACAACTCTGAAGCTGGGAGGGGAGGCCTATGCTGAGGGGGGCTTAGGAAACATCCACCAACGGGAAGTACTAGAAGCCAGGGGCCCAAGGAGATCCCCTGGGTAGAGTAAGGATGAGGGATATAGAGGAAGAGGAGGAGCCCACACAGGAGACTGAGAAGGAAGGCCCCAAGTGAGAGAGGAAGAAAGACAGGCTTCCAATGAAGATCAGAGAGAGGTCACTTGTGTCAGATGCTACTGAGAAGCCAAGTCAGCCTCGACTGGAAGATCAACCTTCGGCTTTGTCAAGATGTGGAGGGTCTTTTGGTAGCCTTGATAAGTGCTCCTTTGCTTATCAGCTCAGAGGGCTGGTGGAGGGACCCAAAAACAATGACAAGAGGAAGTGGATGATGGAAGGTTCACTCTACAGGAAATTAGCTAGAGAAGACGTGAGGTCAAGGGGCTGTTTGTTCAGGAAGTTACTACAGTAGTTTCCATGCCATTTGGAATAACTGAGCAGAGAGGGGGACCAAGAGAATACAAGAGGTGAGGAATTTGAGGAGCAAAGTCCTCACGAAAGTCAGAGACGGGGTCCAGGACCCACATACAGAGGCTGGCTTTTTTTTTTTTTTTTTTTTTTTAAGATTTTTATTTATTTGACACAGAGAGAGAGAGAGAGAGAGAGAAAGCACACAAGCAGGGGGAGCTGCAGGGAGAGGGAGAAGCAGGGAGCCCGATGTGGGGCTTAATCCCAGGACCCCGGGATCATGACCTGAGCCCAAGGCAGATGCTTAACCAACTAAGCCACCCAGGTGCCCCCAGAGGCTGGCTTTTTAAACAAGGACAGGGGCATTTTCTTGCATCTTAACCAAAGAAAAGGCAGACTAGGAGGGTGCAGACTGTGGTGTGGTTCATCAGGCTGGGGAAGGTGCCACACACTCTGGTTCCTTCTGATTCCTCTGTATGTACAGGGTGAGGCCATCAGTTAGGGATAAAGGGGTGGGCAAAAGACAAAGAATGTTCAAGAATGTCACAGCTACCATGTTCACAGCAGCCAAACATGGGAACCAGCCAGTGTCCTTCAGCAGAAGCATGTGTAACAGGCTGCGGTATTTTCATATAACAGAAAACACACAGAATGCAAGAGAAGTCCTCCTACAGCTCACAGACCGAGGACTCTCAGGGGCAAGGGAGGAAGCCAGACCCAAAAAAAGCCCAGGCTTTGCGGCTCCTCCCACACAAAGGTATAGAACAGACAAAACTAGTTCACAGCCAGAGAAGCTCTCAGAGCGGTTGTCTGTCGGGAAGAGAAGGGTGGCTGCAGAGCCATGTGGGAGCCTCGTAGGGTAGTGGAAATGTTCTAGATCTTGATCTGGGTCACTGTCACATGGATGGAGGATTTATTTTTTTAATTCATTGACTATACACTTCACTATATTTTCACACTTTACTGTATTTATGTTATACCTCAGTTTAAGAAGTGCCTTCTTAGCGCAGTAGGCAGCGCGTCAGTCTCATACCTCAGTTTAAGTTAAAAGTTTAAGAAAAGCGGGGGTGCGCCTGGGTGGCTCAGTGGGTTGAGCCTCTGCCTTCGGCTCAGGTCATGATCTCAGGGTCCTTGGATCGAGCCCCGCATCGGGCCCTCTGCTCAACAGGGAGCCTGCTTCCCCCTCTCTCTCTGCCTACTTGTGATCTCTGTCTGTCAAGTAAATAAATAAAAAATCTTTAAAAGAAAAAAAAAAATTAAGAAAAGGGGTGGGGGAATTCTCACAATGGTTCTCCTAGTGAAGCACTCTTAGCTTCAGTTTATAGATAAGGAAACCGAGACTGGAGAGTAGAAACTAGATTCCTCACCAAGCCCACATCCCAAAAGCCCATGCTCTCTCACGGAGTTTTACACCGAAGAGGTGAATAAGTTTAATTAAAACCCACAGTATTTAAAACCATCAAAACCAGAGCCATCCCCTTGGAAGCCCACCTCAGCCCCTGTAGGGGACCCCTAGGATTCCAAGGAGCAGAGTTTGAAAACTATTGCCCCATACCAACCTTCCTTCTTGCAGCACTCAGGAACCAACCACCAGTTGGGGACCAATGAGAGAGGTGGAGTTCCCTGTTACCCACAGCTGCCCCATCTCCCACTCCTCCCAGCCCAGCATGGTGGAGGCCCTCAGTGCCCTTACTTGGAGGGGCCAGGTGGACCACGTATCCATCGCCAACGTAGATGGCCCAGTGTCTGTAGAAAGGGCGGAAGATCTCAATCAGGTCTCCAACCTTGGGCTCTGGCTGCAAAACCAAGAACAAGGCTATTAGAGGTGGTGCAAGTGAGACCTTGGAACCAAGTGGCAGAGGCTGGGGTCCCTTGCCAGAGCCCATCAGATTGGGAGGGTGTCTCCCCGACGTTCCCCAGCTGGCCTAGGGCCTGACCAAGAATTGGCCTGTCTCTGGCCATAGTGTCCTCCTAGCTGCTCACTCGATGATGAGTGGCTGAGTGTGTGCGTGTGAATGTGAGTATATGAGTAAAGGACATTCCTTTCTCCTGTGCACTAGACTCACACCAACGCTTCCGACACCAGATCCGTGGTTTCTCCACACCACGCAATCTAGTCCTCGGTGGAAAAGGACGGACTGGATATCCTACAGTTTATCTCAATTCTGATGCTAACTGCCCGGACCTAACGCAGACCCCAGGGGTGAAGGGCTCAGTCCCACCAGACTGCCCCCCCCAAACTCAGCTGCCAGCCACATGTCCAGATTGTCCCCTGCACTTCTGACTTACTAGCTGTAAATCAGGGGCTTCCATAACCTCCTCCTCTGCTAGAATGGCTCACAGAACTCAGGAAAACAGTTTACTTAACTAGATTACCAGCTTGTTATAAAGAATACAACTCAGGAACAGCCAGATGGCGGAGTGGCGGGGGAGGGGCACAGCTGCCACGCCCTCTCCAGGGGCCAGTCTCCCAACACCTCTGTGTGTTCACCAACCCAGAAACTCCCCAACCCCTTCCGTTTTTACCGGGGCTGTGTTACACAGGCAGGATTGATTATGTCATTGGTCCTAATGATTAACTCACCGTCCAGCCTCTCTCCTCCCAGCCCCGGAGGTAGGGCTGAAATTTCCAGCCCTCTAATAGGTGTGTTCCTCATCACCTCATTAGCATAAACTCAAGTGGGGATGAAGAGGGTTTATGATGAATAACAGAAGACTCTCATCTCTTATCACTCCGGAAATCACAAGGCTTGTAGAAGCCCAGTGCGGGGAATTGGGGGAAAAGACCAAAACTGTATCTCTTATTACTTCCCAAGCAGTGTGTGTAGGGATGAGTGTTGTGTGCTGGGGAAGGTGGGGAGCAGCAGCTAGGAGCCCTGCCCTGCTGGGGATCGGGGAGTACGGAGCAGAGCTGGAGAAAACCTCCAGAGGTTCAAGATCACTTCCATTCAGCATTATTGAGGCGCCAACAACAGACACTACCAAGTGCTGGGGGTGCGGGGCATTCGATTTGGACCAGAATCAGGGGTGACAAGCTTCTCTGGTCCAAGCCAATCTTAAATCTCTTTAAGGAGCGAGGCAACTATCCCTTTAGAAGACCTAGAGAAGGATCCCCTCTGTCCTCTGGCCAAGTCTTCGGGAGTGGGCTCTGACCTGCTCGCTCCTCATGGCCAGACCCGGAGGGATTTGCCTACATCCCATCGCCAAGCTCCATGGACCTGACTTAGAGAGTCCGTCAAGGATGCCCCGGGGAGGACTCACCCATGCATGGCCTGCCTTGGGATAGAAACAAAGGAAGTGGGAAGAGCCAATCACAAACTCCACGAGGCCTATGAAGCAAGGTCAATAGCAGCCCATTTCCATTTATATAAACATTAAAACTGAACATCTATGTTACATGTGGCACGAAAAACATCCTTTCACAGAAATGGTATGTATAAATAAGGTTCTCTTATGCAGTGATTGTAATTAGTCTGCCAAAAAGAAGGCACCCAAACCTTACAGAGAACCTATTTCGGAATAATAGACAATGGTTGCAATTTATGGATCCCACTTGCTTTCCAGAATAAAAGGAAAAAATATTGTTGGTAAGAATTAGGGAGCCTTCAGAAATCCCCCAAAGGGAATTTAACTGGTGGGGGAGGAGGGTTCCTCCACGAATAAGCAAGGACATAAAGACAAGGCAGGAATCCTGCCCTGGGGAAGGCCACGGATTCAACAGGAGACAGTGTGGGCACCTGGGTGGCTCAGTTGGTTAAGCAACTGCCTTCAGCTCAAGTCACAATCCCAGAGTCCTGGGATCAAGTCCCACATCGGGATCCCGGCTCCACAGGGAGTCTCTTTCTCCCTCTGACCTTCTTGCCTCTCATGTTCTCCCTCAATGTCTCTCTCTCAAATAAATAAATAAAATCTTTAATAAAAACAAACAGGAGACAGTGTGAACATCAGTAATACAATGTCAAGGAATGAGCAGTCACTGGTACACAGACCTGAGGAACTCACTGTGCTCTGGACAAATACCAGAGAAAGGTGGCCTGCATGTTGAAAGGCGCCTGAAAAAAATTTTCTTTATTACAATGACAAAAATATCTACAAAGAAATTCACCATAAACACCCCAAGATAATGGGGCAGCAAATGCATGGTGATGAGTAGAAGAAGCCATACCCCAAAAGCAAGACAACATCATATCCCATTTATGTACCATTCCAGAAAAGGTATCATTATAGGACAGAAAGTGATCGGTGATTGCCAGGTGCTGGGAGTGAGGTGGGGAGCAGACAACAAAGGGGCAGGAGGAAACTGGGTGGGGGGGACTGAGCTTCCCCAACTGTTCCGTGTCTGACGGTGGTAACAGTTACACAGTTGTATGTTTTGATGAAAACTCATAGAAACAAACACTAACAGGGGGGCCTGGCTGGCTCAGTGGGTGGAGTGAGCGACTCTTGATTTTAGAGTTGTGAGTTCTAGTCCCATGCTAGGGTAGGGATTGAAAAAAAACAAATATAAACTTTTTAAAAATATATTTTTAAAAAAAGAAATGAACACTAAAAGGAATAAATTAGACTTCAGGTTTTTTCAACACAAAATTTTTTTAATGTATTTTTTTTTTTTTAAATTTTGGGGTACCTGGGTGGCTCAGTCAGCTAAGTGGCTGCCTTCAGTCGGGTCATGATCTCCAAGTCCTGGGACAGAGACCCCAGTCAGGCTCCCTCTTCCACAGGGAGTCTGCTTCTCCCTCTCCCGCTGTCCCTCCCCCCACTGTTCATGCTCTCTCTCACTCTCAAATAAATAAATAAAATCTTTAAAGATATTTGAGAGAGAGAGAGAGAGAGAGAGCACAAGCAGGGGGAGAGGGAGAAGGAGGCTCCCCACTGAGCAGGGAGCCCAATGTGGGGACCCTGGACCCTGGGACCATGACCTGAACCAAAGACAGCTGCTTAACCGACTGAGCCACCCAGGGACCCCTAAAACTTTTTAAATTTTAATAGCTGTCTATAGCTTGAAAGGAAAAAAGTGTTGATTTTTAAATACACAATCAAATTCCCTGCCCCTTTCAAGGGCAAAGGTACCTATTTCCAAATATGCACAAGGTCAAAACATAATACCACTCAAGGACACTTTTTTAAAACAAAGTGATGGGGCGCCTGTGGCTCAGCCGTGGAGCATCTGCCTTTGGCTCGGGTCACGATCCCACGGTCCTGGGATCGAGCCTGGCATTGGGCTCCTTGCTCGGCAGGGAGCCTGCTTCTCCCTCTGCCTGCCGCTCCCCCTCCTTGTGCTCTCTCTCTCTGTGTCAAATAAATAAATAAAATATTTTTAAAAAAATAAAAAATAAAAATGAAGTGAAAGAGAGTGCCTGGGTAGCTCAGATGGCTAAGTACTTGACTTCAGCTCAGGTCACGATCTCCAGGTCCTGGGATCAAGCCCCACGTGGGGTTTCGAGCTCAGCAGGGAGCCTGTCTCTGCCTCTCCTTCTGCCTTTCCCCACTACTCAGGCTCTCTGTCTCTCTCAAGGGAATAAATAAAATCTTTAAAAAAATAAAGTGAAAGGTGGTGGACTGATCTGTGGAGCCCTGCCTGCTAGTTTCTAACTAGTGCAAGGACTCTATGTTCACATGGCAACAGGGATAAGCTTTTAGACACAGAGCTAAGTGGAAACATGAGAATGAGCTCTGCAATGCAACCCCAATTGTATCAATTAAAGATACACACACGCAAACCAATGATACACATCTTAGAAGAAGCACACCTGAAAACATCATTCTAAAAAACCAACAAGAGGGTTGCCTGGGTGGCTCAGTGGGTTAAGCCGCTGCCTTCGGCTCAGGTCATGATCTCAGGGTCCTGAGATTGAGACCCGCATCGGGCTCTCCGCTCTCTGCTCTCTGCTTCTCTCTCTCTCTCTCTCTCTCTCTGCCTGCCTCTCCGTCTACTTGTGATCTCTCTGTCAAATAAATAAATAAAATCTTTAAAAAAATAAAATAAAAATAAATAAAAAATAAAAAACCAACAAGAACAAGAACAGAAGCCTATGGACTAAAGAACGCACACTAAACACATCAGGATGCTGGCCGCTGGGAAGACGGAGGAAGGCATGATAATATCAGGAAACCAAAGAAACCTAAGCCAAAAACCCACAAGACAGGGGTCACGTAGGGACCAGTGAGGACAGGGTGCCATGCACTGAGACAATGAATGTCGTCACCCTCTATCATAAAATCCAGCTAGAGAAACAACTCCATTGAGTCAAAGCGAAGAACTCCAGGAATTAGACAGTATGAGAACAGCAGCCCAGGTGTCAAATTGGTTGCCTCTGCTTATTTTCGTATGCAAGCTCAGAACGGTTTTTACATTTTGAAAATGGTTGGGGGAAAGTCAAAAGAAGGATGTTCTGTGACACGTGCAATTACAGGACATTCAGACTTGAGCGTGCGCAAAGCTTTATTGGCACACGGCCACACCCCATTCATTTACCTCTCGTCCTGGGCTGCTTTCTCTCTACAGCAGATGGGCTGAGGAGTGGCAATGGAGACCGTGTGACCTAAAATCTTCCACTCTCTGGCCCTTTACAGAGAAAGCTTGCCAGCTCCTGCTGTAAGAGAATGGACTGTGATACCTCCCGCACTCATTCCACAGTCTCGGGGGGATTCGCTGCCAGGTGGTTCTTCCTAGGAAGAAGGGGGCTAGCAGGAGGCCCCAGGAAGAGAGCTCCCTCTCCAGCCCAGGGCTCAGGGGACCCCCAGCCCGCACAGTAACCAGGGCTCCACTACGCAACGCAGGCTCTAACAAGGGCAA